GCATTTGAAGCTACAGGTTTCGCCATCTTGCTCTCATCTATCGCAAGGTTACCGGAAAAGGCAGTTCACTTGTTCACACAGTCTGTAGTTCAGAGCCAATGTCACTCTGCTGTGCGGTAATACAACAGACTGCTGACCCCAGCAAACACCTAGAGGAAGATGGTTGACGCCATTAATCCTGGAATTCATTCCTTCTAATGGCAACATTAAGCCAACTGAAAGTAACATTATGACTAATGCTTCATCCACATGAATAAGCATTAGAGAATGTTATGTTAGCTTGAATGTCAGTGTGCTGCCTGCATCTTTTCGACTCTTTCCGGCAGTTTTTTCCTATTTCTTGTCTAATTGTCTGTGGAACTGTGGATACAATTTCAGAGAAAAATCTAAATCAAAAAGTCAAAGTAACAAAGATCAAAAATCTTATTGTAAAAGTGTTTATTGTACAGCTACATTTTGGCCCATTTATATTATATAAAAAACTGTCTACAAGCCCTCATACAGACAAAGGAAAGAAAAGGGAGGTTGCCAAGGCCCAGCCAGGTCCTAACTCCTATAACAAACCTAATGAAAAAAACACTGCTTTTTCTTTTGTGGGGAAGAAACAATAATATTTTTTTGCCTTGTGGCTCTAATCATCCTCCGTACTATTCATAAAATGTAAGTTGAAGAAGAATGATCAGGCTTTTTCTGTTAGAGCCCCCACACTTTCTCTATGGCCCTAACTTTTTTTAAGACTGTCTTCTTTGTGAGAGCTTTTGAAAATGTTTGATATATAATATGATATATTTATTTATACTGTTTTTAGTCCTATTTATTTATTTTATGGTATTTACTTTGTGTGTGCTCATGCTCTTTGGCTTTATTCTCATTTTATCTGGTTTTCTGGTTTTACTTCTTTCTGTAAAGCGCTTTTTAACATTGTGAAGAAACGTACTATATAAAAAGGTTTATTATTATTATAAAAGATCTGTGATGAAATCTTGACAAAACTAACAAATGAATCAACAAAATATAAAGAACTCAAGTGGTTACAGCAGATATTTAACTTGTGTTAAGAAAAAAGAAACTATTTATTTACTTCTCTGTGCAAGATAGGAATATTGAAATGGATTTTTCTTTGCAGAGCCGAACGTGATTACAGTCTGTTTACGAGCTGCTAATGGAAGAGGACTGCAGGGCTGTAATGCCTGTGTCACATAAACACTGAGTGACACTTTGATGGCACTGGGTTATTACAGATTGCATTCATAAACAATAAAAAAATAAATAAAAATCAGAACAATCTGCAGCACTTGTCGCCTCGTCGCTGCCCTCACTCTCCTCGCCGTGGAGCACGTCTGTGATATATACTTCATACAGAGATTTCATTCCTGCCTGTATGTGACAGTCGACTCATGAGGCCATGAGAAACATTAGGATGCACTGCTGTGTGTTGTGCTGGCAGCCCCACTGACCCTAATTTATAATGACTCCATTGTCTTGGGGAACACAGACGTATATCAGGCGTAAATGAAGCAGGACAGGCACTTTAGCTGGGGAGATGAGGTGATTATAGCTCATGGATTAGTCTGGGTGAGGTGGATGATCAGTCTGATGTGCATGCACACACACACACACAGGCACACACACGCACACACGGGTACACACACACACACACACGCACACACGGGTACACACACACACACACACACACACGCTCGTGCACATGCACAAAAGAAGTGTGCACTTGAGCTCACACACACATACACACACACGCGCAAAACACTGTGCAGGTTCATGTAGACACATCCCTGCATTTACAGGACACGCGTGCATGCATGCACACACGCACTGACCTCACCATGGCACCCAAACAAACACAGTGTGAGGCGGATTTACTGTAAACAAAGCCCACAGGAAGATGATCATGAGCTGTGGGTTCACCTCGCTCACCAGCGATTTGAGGGTTCGTGGTGTACAGCGGGTGCACAGATTCAGGGGAAGTTATAAGTTCTCCACAGTTTACCAGCGATGCCACTCAAGTCAGGTTTCAGTAAATGATGTTTCATAAAGAAGGTTAAAATAAGTCTGAGCAAAGTTAGCTTGGAAAATGACACCCCCCCCCCGACTACTTTATATCATCTTTGTTGTTCACAGCCAAACCACAACAAGTAAACATGCTCTCTTCATATCAATCGTTTATCACCTTTGACCTTTGCCATTATCTGGAGCCACGCATAATACATTTTTTAAAACAGAACTGTGTTTTCATTTTAATTGTATATGAAGGGGTGGTTTAAATTGATATTGATTGATAAGAAAAATCATTTAAAAACTAATATTACGGCCATATTTTATATTTTATTTATCACGGATTATATTATATTTTTGACAACATGTTGTGGGCTGGAGGGAGGCCAAAATGCTGATTATGTTAATTCTTGTTTTAAAATAAATCAGCAGACTGGGGTCTCATTTCATAAGCTGTTTAACGTCATCTTGTATCAACTTCGATACTTGTATACATTTTTGTCAGTCCTTGTACAAAGTATGTTCATGTTACTCATGCAAGACTTTTGTGTTGTTAATTACAGTGGTTTTGCTTTAATATAATTCTCTTTATATTAAAATATACTACTTTATATATTATAATACTCTTTATATTATAACATACTACTTTATATATTATAATACTCCTTATAATATAACATACTACTTTATATATTATAATACTCTTTGTATTACAACATAATACTCTTTATATTATAATATGCCACTATATATATTATAATATACTATATACATAATATACTATACTACTTTTTATATTATATGTTTAATATGTGCTGCTCATCACAGTTTTGTCTTTATACATCAGTTGTCTTCACTGTGAGTGCTTGATGTCGCAGGTCGGTGCTTCAAAGTCATGAAATAAACCCGACTTGACTTAATCTGATCTCATCAGCTCTAACCTGGTTTTGTGAAACCGTTAAATCCTGGTTCACTTTGTTGGGCTCATTTAGGCTCTGAGCTGCTTTTATTGTGAAGAAAAAAATTTTACCTTCAAGGTTTCTCACCATAACACATTCTGTGTTTCTTTTAAGCTCTGTGAATCATTTTTTTATTCATAATGAAGCTCTGACAAACCCACTGTACAGCACACACCCAGCACAAAACTGCAGATAGACACTTCAGCGAACATCTAGCAGGTAAAGGGGCCGGACATGCAGCAGGAGCATGAGGAGATACATGCATATTTGATCTATAAAGCTCCTTGTTGGATTCAAACTTTATCTGAGGTTATCTTGCTCTGAGGCTGCAGTGTGAACCACTTAGCTACTGTGCCGTTCAGTCACAGCCAATAAAGCATTTGATATGATATATAAAGCATTTGATGTGAAAGCTACCCAGTGCTCTTTCTATTTCACTTCATTTTGGAGCTTATCATCTAGTTTACCTCCTGGTAAAATAAAAAACCCTCATCATTTGAAAAAGTAGTTCTACCACATCAACCCATGTTGCTTCTATAAAAGCTCTTTCTTTTTGTGCTCTGATAAATTGTTTTGAACTAAGGGTACACACTGTGGCATCAGGGGTTAAACAGATGGGGAGCAACTCTGAACCAGGCAAGATGGAGTTCTCAGCCTGTTCAGGTGGAATAAATCAGGCCGTTTGTGAACAGAAGCCCCAGTCTGGGGAGCGGCGGCGACTGTTCAGCGTCTCATGTAAAGTTTACATTGAGCCCAGCAGCCCTCGGACGGGTTCCTCAGTGGTACTGTTGTTATGAGGAGGATTAGTTCAGCTACCAGGCTGAAGTCTGTCTGTATCTGCAATGACTCACTGATGGACAATCTCTAAACCCCACCTGGTGATGTTTATGTAGCCTAAATACTTTTAATAATCCCACCCAAACAGAGAAGCAGTTAAACATGCTCTCCTCTTTAATGAGCAGTGTATTGAATTCCTCTAAAGCAGACCCTGTGGATCCTCAGACAGTACACATGGTTTCCCTATGACCACCACTACGTGGCGCACTGAGTCATGCACCCAAACCAAACAGCACACTGCGTCTGCAGCCCTGAAACCTGAGGGAGGCAAAGTTTTAAAAAGGCTCAGAGATAAATGTGTGGCCAATAAAACTGCCTAGAAAATCTGAAGCAGTAAACAAGAAGAAATGAAAGCAGTTTTGCTTTGGATCTGCCAATAAAATCTGTCTCTTCTCGGGTCATTTAGTGCAGAATGGAAATTTTGTTTTCCCTCAAACAAGCGAAAACTCTGCCAGCTGAGATACTTATGGTACTTTTACTGCTCTCAAGACATTTTTTCAAGTTCAAGAACTGTCTTGGATCAAAACAGTGTGAGAGAGGCGCATTTTCTGACAAGATAATTAATGTCAGTAAATTCTTAAACGGAGTTCATTTGCTTTGAAAACAGCTGAACTTTGGTTATGGCACATTAGAAAAAGAGCTACTTTATAGCATTTTAATTGGACAAATGTGGGAAAGTGAAACTTCCAGACTGAGATCATGACAACTCAGAGAAAATGAAGTTTATCCCGTGAAAGGAGCTTGTTGTGCAGCAGCTTTATGAACTGATCTGGGAACTGTCTGCCGGCCTGGGAAACACAGATACCCCCAAGGAGGAGGGACGTTGTTTTTGTAAGCGAAACGCCCGTCATTCAAAATCCAATCCAATGAGGCTGTGAGCAACCGTGAAACTGTACGCTGCAAGAAATGCGCGCAACAACAAACGGCGCTGCAGCGGCTGCGCGCAAAATCCCATGTGAATGTGAACAGTGGGCTGATCTGCAACGGGTGAACACGGGAAAGTGGAGGTAAAGCAGGGCTGATGAGACCACCTGCATACACTGAATGTGAGAATACGAGCTCCAGAAGATTCAACAGTCTTTTATGTTTCAGCGCTCAAACTGCAAAAGACGAACATTTCTTGCAGCGTGCCGCGGCTGGCACAGTAGGAGGGAGGACGAGAGAGAGAGAGAGAGAGATTGGGGAGGGGGGAGTGGAGGGGTTGGAGGAAGGGGGGTTGGTCCGGGAGAGCATGGCCGCAGGAGCCAGAGGAGCGCCGCTGACTTGGTTTGCTTCCTCCACGTTGATAAGACCGCTGCTCGTGGCGCTCGTCGGGGGACGTTCAACCCGGAGACTGTGTGCGTTTACGCGCGGCGGAGAGGTTTGATTTACTGCGTGCGTTGCTGTTCCGCAGGGCAGAAGCGCTCGGGCAGCTGCGGGAGCCGGAGCTGCTGGTTGCGAGTCTTCTTCTCTTCTGGCTTCTTGGTGATTCACAGCGAACAGGAGGAGAGATCCTGAGCCGGAGAGAGCTGAGCGACGGCACAAGGAGCTACGTCTCTGCTCTTCTTTGCTGTGTGGAACATTTATTCTCTGTTTGTTGTTTTTTTTTTATATTTTCCACTGCGTACGCAACGTTGCCTCCTCTCTGGGAAATTCAATGCGAGTTGGAGAAAGTGTTGGCTGCGCGGAGCGGAGTTGAGTCGAAGGAAGATTGTTCGTGTGTCAGGCAGAAATAGATTGGATTTAGTTTGGTCCAAAGTAAGATCTGACTGAGACTGAACAACAAACCGCTGTTTTAAAAGAAGAGAAAGACGTTTAAGCTTCAGTTTTGTAATAAAAACCCCGAGGAGGGAGCTACAGCTGTGCGGGAATAAAACGCGTGAAGTGGACTCTCATCCCAACACTTCACCGCCACATCCATCAGAGTCTTTAAACCTGAACCGGAGGAGGGACTGTTACCCGTTTGGCTTCGTCGGAGTTCCAGAGCCAGAATGCCGCAGGTGGAAATGATCATCTTCCTCATCCTCATCATTGGGATGTGTGTGTACGGCCAGGACCCAGCTTCCAAGGTGGTGTCCGACCGCTACGCCGTCTACTGGAACCGGACCAACCCCAAGTAAGTAGCCCGCTCGCCCGCTCGCTTGCCCGCTCGCAGGGACGCACCGGCACACAGGGGCTCCGTCACCCTTGACGTTGCCCGGTTGAATCTGCACTCTAACCGGTTTACAGTTTGTTGAGTGACTGCGTGTACAGTCCGTTTGAAGCATCACAAGTGCTAAAAAGCAAAGTAATCCACTTAGAGAAGCAAAACAAAACATCGCTTTATATATTTACAATTTAAAAACAAACATGTTACCACATCAATTTGCAACAATGCCTCTTATGGTGTAACATTTGCTCTGAATTACCAACATTATGAACTCTTCTTCGGCACACACACGATTGATAAATGTGAGTGTTTGCTTGGTTCAGGCTTGACTAGAACCTTTTATTTGTTGTCTTCATTGATGGATCGTTGTGCTGATTACCGTTTCATAATCCTCCATATCTGGATCATCTTTGTAATCAACTGTGCACACTGAGCAGCATAAATCATACCTGACAGAGGAACAACAAGACATTTTCACACAGGCTGTCCGCTATTACGCACCATTACGCGCTATTACGCATTCTTGTTCAGCGTTTGCCCCACATTCAGGCCGAAAATGAAATACATGCGGAGTGTTACAAGCGCTGGGAGAAATATATTCGGCTGAGTTGCTGCGCTGAAATAGTGCTGAGTGTCCTCCAGTCTGCTGCCATCGATTACAATTGACAGAATTAATTTATGTGTCTAGTGGAGACCCATCTTATGAGTCTTAGGTGATGTTTCTGTCAAGCTTGTGATTTATTAATTGTTTATTATCAACACAGTGTCTGTGACTATCACAGTGGTTGTCACACGCTGCTTTGCTCAGAAAGTGTTGATAAAGTATATTTTGTTGCGTTGGGTGACTAAAAACCTGCAGCTGAAAACTTTTTGTCGCTCTCTGGTTTTAATTATTACAAAGCTGCAGAAAAAGTCTTTTCACATGAGCCCAGATTCTTCTAATTTAAATACTAAAGTGACAATTCTTCTCCTAAACTCCCTCCTGTGTGTGTTAGGGCACCTCCCTTGGTGACTCAGTGCCTCACTCTTGGCACTTAAGCACATATTGATATAATGAATGTGTGTCACTTTGTTTCAGTTGGACAGGAATACTTTCACCTCTGTCTGGTATTAGCAGGTCACAGTTTCGGCATGAGTCAAAAAAAGAGAAGAGAAATTCATATCAACATTTGCTTAGGGAATAGAAACTGGTTTGTTTGGCTTCAGAGGAGCTGAACTGACAAGATGTTAATGATACAAATGCAAATGTGGTGGTAGCATCAAAGGCTGATGGAGTTCCTGCTCCACTAACCGACAGATAGTCCGATAACAGCATTCTGTCCCACTCACAGGCTGCAGGTTGTTTTTTCTCTCTTGGCCTTCAAACAGTTCCCAAGTCTGGTTTCTTGGTTGCCATGCTCCCCTGTCCAAGTGTCCCCCCCCACCTCCACCCCCTCTGCCCCCCTCCCGGCCCACGCTGGGGCAGACAATGAGGGGGTACACAGGGGTATTTCAGCTGCGGCCAAGGCGCAGCGTGGTGCTCCCTCTTGTGAGAGATCCACACATGCTGAGGTCACACACTTGGTAGTAACCAGGCGAGTTACGGGTTAAGCAGCACAGAGGAGACCGTTGTCAGGGTCAAAACCGGGGCAGTACCGCTGGCCATGGGGCCCGGTGACGGCCCCGGCACGGCACCCTGCCTGGGCTTTGTCTCTGCAGAATGGGGGCTAAATAAATGAGTAACTCTAAATGACTGTCTCCTTTTCTCATTCATGACTTTAATCTAAACCTGACCCCGGCTGTATAATGTAAGAGAGGGCCGTGCTCAAAGCCTGGGGGCCCCCCTGACCCGCAGCAGAACCTAACAGTATTCCATACAAGCTCGTGGGCTCCAGATCCCTGCTGTTTAATGTAACCATACTCAGTATTGGAGCCCTGGGAACCTGCTGCGGCACAGTCCCAACTTCCAGATGAGCTTTCCTACCCCCCTCTCTGCCTTCTCTGCTACATATTTGACCAAAGTGGGGAAAAATGGCATCCGGAGCAGCAGTCCATACTCAGCCATTCATGAAATCCCCTACAGGAGCTCTGGAATTGAAATGGGAAGTGAGTCGTGAAAAATGGAAATGCAATGACATTTCCATGTTTTTCTGTTGTTTTAAAAGGAGCCTTTTTGTAATTTAGATAAACATGCATCCATGTTTCGCTATGCTTTCATCTCAGGGAAACATCTTCCCGTGCTGATGCTCGTTGCTGATTAGGCTCAGATGAGCAGGACTCTGAGCGGTGGAGGAGGGATTTACAGCCCTGAGGATGGTTCAGCTTTCGCCTGGAGTTTGAAAAGCTCCCACAGTGACAGCGAGTAGCTGTGCTTGTATAAGCTACTTAATGAAATTAAATGAAACTCCAGTATCAGGGAGCCTTGTTCGAGCGAAACTGCCGAGGCACAATTGATGTAATGACTCTTAGTTGTTGTTTTACCAGATCAACCCAAAAAAAGCTTCAGATTGTTCCATTGTGGTATTCATCAGTCAAATGTAATTCACTGAGTGTAGAGGCTGCATCTTCTGCATTGTTCGGTCTACTCAGAGTCAGTCCATTAGTCAGGGGATGTAATGTGCGTAAAATGTGTACATATTTGCTATGCAGGCTTGGAAAGTCAGGGAATGCTCCTAATTTGGATATAATCCTGTAAACTGTAAACAATGTAGGAATTTACAAAAAATCTGTTGAATATGTGGCGAAAAAACTGCAACTCCTTTTAGACACAGAGTGGTTTCAGATATTGTCATAGAAGAGTAATGAAGAGTAATATGTAGTGGCAGCACTACAAGTCCCTCTCATACTGTTATCAGTATTGTTAACGGTATCTACGGGATTATAAATCGTAATTTATTAATGTTTAAAGATCAGTGAGACAGCTTTTATGTTGCCAGGTTGTAAAAAAGTAGACTCCTCCAACGGACACCCCCCCCCCCCCCCCCACACTTCCTGCAAAAGGGCTGCAGAACATGTGGACCAAAACCCATTTATTAACAACTAAGTGACTTTCACAATTGCAGACTTAATGACTTATTAGATAGTGAGAAACATATGAAAAACTAAACAGAAAATTCAGTTTGTGGAAAAATAAAAATGTAGTAGACATACGCAGTTTGAGATACTGAGATAAGAATAATGTATGACTGCGGTTTCACTGTAGCTCCTGCCATATTGACAAGGCGCTATTAGCAGAATAAAGAAGTTGTAACCCATGGTTAATAAATATTTAAGAATTACTTTGTAGATCAGAGTTTGTGGTGGCATTAGCTAGTTGCTAATCTATAAGGCTATTATTAGCCATTATAAATGTAGAAGTAGTTACCCTTTATAAAGTGTAACCGGTAAAGTATTATTAACATGTGTATTACACGTTAATAAAGTCATTTGTTGCAGCTCATACTGCCTGAAGTATGTGAGTATGTTTTATTAGAAAGTGGCACCAAGACAAAAGCAGCCCACTGGAGACAAGAAATCAAAAGCTAGAAATTAAAAACTGTGGTGGAAAGGCTCATGTAAGAAAAATGAGCCACAGATGTTCCTTGTCAGCTTCGCCGTCTGTGTCGGTAACCAGTGATGGAGTAAAGTGTATGAGTGGGGTATTTACTGCTGCTCTGACAAGGAGCTATTAGTGAATTCCCTGCTCACCAGCTATTTAGCTGCTTCATTAAAACCCACCCGGGTCCATATGGTCCGCACGCAGGCGTTGCCGCGACCCAAGGTGTTTATTTGTTGCTGATAGGTGGGATCAACAGAGAATCAGGGCCGAGTTCCGTCCCTAATCTCTCAAGCTGTTTGTGTCTCGGACGCCATGGAAACTGATACCCCTCGTCATCAAAGAACCTCATTGGGTGGGACTAACGACCTGACAGCTGGGGAGAGAGGGATTCCAGTGTTCAGGGAGAGCACTGTCACCCCAGGGGTTTCCTTTAATCCCTGATAATACCCACCCAAAGCTTTCCCCAGCAGATGCAACATATTTCTCCATAAGACAATCAAAGAATCGCTTCAGTGGCCGGTTTTATGTCTGAGATAAGCGTGGTTATTGACTTAAAAGACCTTTCTGATGATCCAAATGCTCTTTTCCTTCCAAGTTTCTGGACCTACTTGATTGTTTTTGGTTGAGGTAATACCTCAAAAATGGTAGTAAGCTCCTCGACTTGACACACATTTCTTCTCATAGCAGAATGACCTCCACTATTTGCTTTTCTTACACTGCTCTCTTTTTAATCTCCACTTAAAGAAACAATACTCCATTTTTCACTTGGTGGCGAGCTGATGTTGTGATAGTTTCCCAGTGGCATTGTGAGTTGCCCCGTTTGCATTGTTCCCTGTGTTTACCCTTGCTTTCCCCTCTCAGCCTTTTCCCGGCTCCCTGCAGCTTGGTTCCGCTTGGATTAAAAACGGACACAAAAAGGCAACCACGTCCAAATATTGACTGGGTCTCAGGACCGCAGCCCTCTCCCAGCGCCGGCACAGAACGCCTGAAAGGCCACTATTGTTCCGCTCGTACTCAGCGGCCCATAGCCAGCTTTTAGCTGTGTGGGGAGACAGACTGGGAGAAGGAGGAGACGGGAGAGGTGGTTGTGGAGAGCGTGCATAAGTTATCTGAGGTGGGGGATTATAAGAGGAGGGACAACACAGTCGCGGGGGTGAGAGAAACTTCCGCATTAGAGGCCAGAGGCTACGACAGGAGAGCAGTGTCCAGGGGTGGGGTCAGAACCAGTGTTTCCACCCTGAGGAAGTGTCAATCTCAAAAGACATCAAAGGCCGCTGACAGAATGTGATTTCCTGCAGCGAGGCTTCAGAAACTGTCAATAAACTGAGGATAAGAGGCTTCTTATCTGAGGTTTACCGTCCATTTTATTACAAAGTGCTGAAGCATTAAGCCTCCTCACAGCACTTCAGGCTCTCAGCGTATGAAATGAAAGAGCGTCACATCACAGATA